GACTGGGACCGGAACAGCCTGTGACTGTATAGGAGGTGTGACTATATAGGAGGTGACTGTAGGGGAGGTTGACTGTAATACGTCATGATTAAGCCACTGTTCAGCGTATATTAGATCACATCGCGTAGCACATCTTTCCGCAGAATCAACCATGACAGATGCTAACAAAAACTGGGCTGTTTTCCTTGACCGTATCAATCTTTCTGAATATGCCACACATTTTGTTAGTGCAAGATCAGAGCCAATTTCTTGGGCTTCTCGTCCAGATGAAAAGATTGAAGAATTTCTAAAAACTCGTAATGTTACAGACCTTGAAGACATTACAGCTATTATATATAACTTGAGAAATCTTTCTGGTAAGTGCTTTGTAATTCAGGCGTTGAGAACATCCATTAGAGCATAGAATAGAATAGAGCATAACAATTTGCCTAGTCCTGGACACTCAGACAAGTAACGACATTGTGACTCGGGCGTTGGGGACATAGAGTAGTGTAGACAGAGGGTAGAGTAGACGTAGTGACATTCTTACAGTACGAGTAACGACTTTGTGACTCGGGCGTTGGGGACATAGAGTAGTGGTAGAGTAATAGTATAGGCTGTAATATAGTTGTATTGGGAAAACGTTACATATCTAGCTCGAGTGCTGGTCTCCGGAATTACGTTGGGGCGTAGAATGAACATCTTGTATTGGGAAAACATTGCAGTATGATGGCTTTTTCTTTTCAATAGTTTATAAATCGTATTTTTTTTTTACAGAACGGCATGGCAAGCGAAGTGCTGAAGAACAACTTCAACAGCAGTATCTGAAAAAGCTTGAACGACTTCCTGGTCCAAGCGAACTGGGAAAAACTTATACTCAATCGGATGAAAATCCCACGTTCCTGAACCATCGACCACCATCAGCTGAGGGGATTCCAACCGAACTTCTGCACCCTGTGTTTGGACAGTTTCTGGACGATTGCGCGTCCGCTCAACCGACCATGGATGACGTCCAGTTTGCTGTTTCATTCAGCACCTCGATGCTTCGATATTATAACTCTGAAGGAGATCGCGCGGACCGCTTGCGGAATCTATTTGCAGATCACTATGTCATTGGCCTCAAAGGCTCCACAATCCGTAATGCGATTACTGACGCCACTTGGTTTCCAGACTCTAAAAGCAACTTCATGGCAATGAACATCGAAGTAAAGAATGAACCCGGACGCAACGGTGACTCTTTTATTCAGAATATCGGTTACTACCAGCAATACATCCTTAGCCACGAACGCAGAGAAATGATCAGGCTCCCCTGCTTCCTTATTTCTGTAGTCGGTATGTGTTGTATTTTCACTTTATGTACATAATACATAAAACTGCTCGTTGTTAATTCTTACTATCTCCCGGTTTGTAGGACCAACACTCAGCATCTCAAGAGCCATCTTCGGAGCAAGGATCACCATCGATGCACACCCCAACACACTCTCTTTTGCCTGCTCTTCGTATAATACTGAGTATTTCGCTCGCATCTTTAGAGCTCTTAAGAATGCCATTGAGACACTGCGAGAATATTACAGCAACAACATCCCAGACATTGAGCCGGAGCAACGAGAATTCCCATACCTCAACTCATTTCAGAGTGGTGGAAGTCGTATTCATTTCAAGTACCGTCGGGCTCTGAATCCACATCTTCTTATCTTTATTGTTGACATTGATGTTGATGTTAACGATGCACCAGGACTCCCTCAGCAGCTTCTTGTCAAGTTCACTCGTCGTTATGGTGTAGAAGCTCACAGGGAATGTGCAAGCCTAGGAATTGCTCCTGAGCTTTTTGGTTTTGAGGTTCTTGCAGGTGGCTGGAAAGCAGTCGTGATGGCCTACAAGGGCGATGACTTTAAGACACTACTTGAATGCACATTTGATGAAAAAATCAAGACAGCAGTGAAGGAGACAGCAGTGAAGATGCATAGAAAAGGGTTTGTACATGGTGATCTCCGGGACGTGAACATTCTGTACCATTGCCAGCAAGCCCGTGATAGGGTGGATATTCTTTTCATTGACTGGGATTGGGCTGGCAAAGAAGGAGAAGCTAGGTACCCTCCAACTATGAACCCCAAAATTAGTCGACACCAGAATGCAGTGGCCCATCAGCTCATATGGAAAGAGCATGATGATCACATGCTAGATATCATGTTCCGCTGAATGTTGATTCAATTGTGGGACATTGATTCTGTAATGAGACAACAATGTAATAGCAAAAATAAGTAGTAATATCACAATAATAGACAAAATAGATATTCTAGCCAATTTCAGATTTCCTGCTGGGTTTTAATAGGCTGAATCTGAATCATTATAAATTTATCAGATAATTATTTGACATTGTTATTGGTAAAAAAAGGAAATTCACTCGGCAACAGGCAGCTGATACGGCAGAATAAGCAGAACTTTTTTAGTAATAATTGAGAAATGAGAGATTGGTTAAAAGAATGGCAAACGAAAAATAATAAAATTGTACACATCGCTTTATAACACAATGCCAAATTGGGGGTTTTAAGACAGAAAATGGTAAGAATTAGCCCCTAACTCGATAATTTTTAAATTTTTTGTTAGATAATTTGGGCTAATTTAATCTGTTTTTAGGCCGTACACTGATAATTTGACATCAAATCATCATTTCCACCTTAAAATGTCTTAAATCTGAAAAAATGAAGTCTAACGAAAATTGCAATGTCTAGATGAACGAAAAAGTTGGGACAGAAAATATCAGAAATTATGCGATTTAAAGCTTAACTCCTATTTTTTTTTGCTGTCAAGTCTAACAAAAAAATTTTAGGATATAGGACGTAAAATGCTGATTATCATACATTTTTTGACTCAGTTGGCTAGCACAGATAAGTTAATAAAAAAATTCGCTCGTGTAACCTGTGAACTCAATATTTTTAGCGAAAATTGACGACAACTTTGAATTTCGTCGTAACTTACAGCAAAAAAAACGTTAGACTTAATTTCAGTATTTGAGTAATTTTTTCAGCGGTACCACCAAAAAATTGTTCTTGCTATACGACGTGGTACCACTGCAAAATAAGCCTCTCCGCAGCCGTACGGCAGAAAAAGGTTATTCAAAGATAAAAAGGGCAATGACATCTGAAGTTTTGGCACGTAATCTACGATAATATTGTGATACATAGTACCCTCTGATATGTAGTGGGCAACGGCCAGACGTCGAGCCTGTCGGCTTACTGCAGACAGTACAAGGATAACGCCTTTTCGATTTCCAATGAAACCGACACCCCTCAGGTCGAATGCAAGGTCTAGCGCACATTTCTCCGGAATTAAGAATGTAGGAGCACGAATACTCTCCAATCATTTTTGGCGGTACCGCTTAATATAGGTTTAGAAATTATTATTTGAACAAAAGATTTTGTATAAGTATAATATATCGCGACCGTTAGTACAAATGGCTAGAAAAGAAAAGAAAAATACTACTTGTGAACGTTGCGGCAAATCATTGTCAACACCTCAAAGACTCCGTGAACATCGTAGGCGAAAAAATCCGTGCAAACCAATTATTACAGAAAATTTACTTAATGAAGAATTTCAGCGATTGGCTAATATTACAGGAGATTATGAAAAAAATTTAGTATTTCGTGAGCAAGAATTAGGTCCCGCACTTAAAAGACGAGCTATAGCCGTATACAATGCAAACATCCCTAGATATCACCCGGATAATGGAAGTGATGTAAGAAAAATGCTGGAAAGCCAAAGAAAATCTTTCCGAGAGTTGCTAGAAAAAGAATTCGATAAGCGCGGGCAATTTAAGTTTGCATTATGTTCACTTACCAAATTCATTATGGGTGACAAACCTGGAAATAAAGACTCGCAGAATGAGGACGCCTCTACTCCTAAGCAAAGAAGTTCGAAAATCGATTGGTTACGAAATAAGCAAATCATAGTATACAATCGATCAGAAATTGATAATTATTTAAGTGACGCATTTGAGCAAATCTTACATCAAGTGGAGGAGAGAGGTGGCAAAACAAACGTTTAGCTTTATACGTGGCAGCCGTACGGCTTAGCTGGCTTGCGCTGAAGTTTAGGAAATTTTGCATTCATTATATACTTTGGTGGTAGCTCAGTATCTTTAGGAATAATTTGAAGTTCTTCTTTAACAAAAAAACGTTCTGGTCCTTTGAAAAGTTTATATAAAATTGGTTGATTATTTTTTATCAAATACGATTTAATTGTGAAAACCTCTGGACTCCAGTTACAATCGGTCACTCTTCTTTTCCCGAAAGCATTACCTTCTAATTCTCCTGTTTCTAAAAGGTGACGCACATCTGTATGGGTCGGTAAACGGGACTCATTATATCCCACGGGTCGTCTATGTTTTACGGAGGGTTTAGCAAATATTTTTTCACCGTTTAATGACTTTTTTACAGCCTCATTAGGTGTCATACCTATTTGACTGGTAACGGAGTTATTATAAACATCATCATCAGTGTCAAGTTCTCCAAACCAAGAACGGCTTCTTTCAGATAATGGTAAAAGAAAATCAGTAGCGTCTTGACGTCTAAAAGCTTGTTTTTCGTATTCTTGATGATCGCGTTCGGCAATAGCAACACCCCGCTTACTGTTAGCATACGAAATTTTTATGCCACGTCTGAGTAACATATCTCTGCACTCCCCCATATACTCCGTTCCCTTATCTACTCTAAAGTTTTCAGGCCAAGAAAGAGGATTTGAGGAATCATTATAAATTTTCTTAATAGCCTTAGACATTTGGGCTGCCGTTTTATCTGTCAAACCAAAACTCTTGCGATATCTGGTCGACACATCTTTTATCACGCCTCTATATTTGTAAACCCGTTTACCAACCTTATCATGAGGCATAGGAGTAGTGTCAGACTGATGCATTTGATTCAACCTCTGTATTCCATTGAAAGATGCATACTGAATAAATTTCGGGCGGGGCTTATGTATTTGATGTAGCGCCTGTTTGTCTAACCAATTTCTCACATCAGCCAATGAGAAATTATTTCCAGCTTTTCTACACGCATCATGCAATTTTTCAGCAGTACGATAATAACCCTGAGGCCTATAATACAATTTCCTAAGCTCAATAGCAATGTCAAGTCTACGTGCTATTTTGGGATCAATAGAAATAATGGGAAGATAACCCGTCATTTTTTGATCAAAATATAATAATGGAAAACAAAATCCTAGATCCAGCATTTGTGCAACTTGCACAAACAAATATAGAATTACGGGAGGAGTTAAATCGCGAGGTGGATATAAATCGTACAAATGAAAGAAAAATTCGTGAACTCATACGAGAATTGGAAAAATGCGAGGGAGAGTTGACTCGACAGAATTCTACTATCACTAATCAAGAGAACGAAATTGATGATTTAAAAAATCAAATATCGAATTTGCGTAAACAATTGCGATCAGTTCTCAAAGAAATTAAAACAAATGAAACGGTAATTGACAACAAAAATAATCAATTAGTTGAGTACGAGGAGAAAATTACCGGTCTTAAAAAAAGAATCAGTGAATTAGCATGCCGTAAAAAAATATTGCCTAATCAAATAGAAATGGCTTCGCCGTATGGCTCACCGAGAATCCATGATGATACTCTTAATAATTTTGAAAGTCTATGCCAATCGATAAGGGAAAATTTACAGCACTTTCCGACATTAACTGGAGCAAACACCATTAGACGAGCCTTGAATGCAATTACTGACCATTATAATCAATCCCAGGATGCAATACGCAATTTAGAAAGACAATTACGGGACTTACGTAATAATGCCACATCTACAATCCAACACCACCAAAATACGAATTACAACCTAAATCAACGCCTGGTACAAGAAATAGAAAGAGCAAATAAAGCCACCCTCGACAATGGGGCATTGTGGAGAACCAATGCAAATATACGGGATGCATGGCGCATGTGTGAAGAAGATTATAGAAACGAAAAGTTAAAGCACGTTTTCTGGAGAGTAAATTCTGAAAAAAATAAAACCCGATTATTATCTGAAATTTTTGCTCTCAAAATTCTTTGCAATAGATACAAAAATAAAGCCCAACCACATGCTTTTCTGTATGGAAAATACACAAAATGGAAAAATAGGACAAAAGTTAAACACGAAAAATATAACAAGTGGAAGCTTAGGACGAGGCTAGTCCGCGATGGTAATTTAGAACTGGAAGATCGAATTAATTTTTTAAACCAGAGGATTTTTGATTTACAGAATAATATACCTCCGCAAAACCAAAACATGGCAACTTTACAAGACGTTATGAAATCGCTGACATCAGTTATCGGCAATATACCACAATATACAGGACAAGAATCACCAGACAATTACTATAATAAAATTGTACAAACTTTTTCTTACGGAGAAATTCTTGGTGTAGGAGGGTTTGACGATGTAGTAAAGACAAAAATTCTGATATCCAAAATGGCAGGGAAATATGCTCCAGTTCCCGACCAACACAATGGCAACAATATTAATACTCCTGAACGTTTCAAAACTTGGATAAAACATAAATATCACGAATTAACATATGGGTCACGACAAACTTCATTAACAAAATTAATGCAAGAGAAATTTTTGCCATCAGATACCCCTGAAACTTATGAGGAAAGAATTCGCCTTTTGTTATTGCAAACGCCCAATGATAACCCTGAGGCCTTGGAGATATTATGGAAGCAATTACCGTTTGAACTTTATAGTACAGTAAAGATAGCCCAACCAAATAATATAGATGATTTCTTCATTGCTGTTAGAAACGCTTGGTTAGAATACAAACCCCCAACTTTTACATACAATGGAGGCCAGACTTCGGGCACTGAAGTGAGTTCACACCAAAAGTCTTCAATCTCAGCTCCGCAAGAAAAAAATAATAAAGCATTAGCGACTTTAGAAATGTACGCCATGAGATTAGGTTACCCGGCTGATGCACCTCGAGATTTAGAATCTTTAGATAATTTTATTGAAAGGCAATTAGGAAAAAGTTTGGGATACAATAATTACAATCTTAGAAAAGAGTTTTCTGGTGGAAGAAAATTCTCCTCAGTGAATAAATCCAATGTTAACAGAAAATCCGCTAACAAATGTTCTAACTGCGGTAAAACCGGGCATAGAAAAAATCAGTGTACTAAGAAGACTCAAAACGCCACTTCCTCGGCTGTACGCTCAAAAAGGACTAATTTTGCAGTAAGGTCTGAGGATGAAGAAGAATATTACTCTGATAGCTCTTCACCAACTTCTGAAGAATCGGAA